CCTATTTTGAAAACCGGCAAATTCAATGGTTTTAAACTTTAGATAACCTTCGGACCACAGTATCTGAATAAACCCCCGGAGCATAGACCATCATAGTCTATACTGTTTGCCAGAATCCTGCAGACTCACTGTTTTTAGAATAAATCAAGTAAAAATAGCAAAATCGCATATTTTTACCTGATTTTTGGCAGGCAATGTCATATAAGCCCATAGATCACCCCAGGATCAGAATCTACCGATTCTGGGCAGATTTCGTGTGGGCGACACACCTAGTGTTGCCAGCTCAGACTGGCCCAAATCACGAGATTTTTGGCAGGTGATATATCAAAAGCCTTTGGATCATCCCGAAATCAGAATTTGCTGATTCTGGGCAGATTTGGTCATGGCTACACACCTAGTGTCGCCCTGTCGAGACTGGCCCAAATCATGAGATTGTTTGTACGTGATATATCAAAAGCCTTTAAATCACACCGGAATCGAAATTTTTCAATTCTAGATAGATTTGATAGTCCAGACTGGCCCAAATCACGAGATTTTTGGCAGGTGATATCTCTGGAACACCCCAAAATCGGGATTTGCTGATTCTAGGAAGATTTAGTGTCGCCTAACCAAAACTGTCCAAAATCGCGTATCTTTGACCCCAACGTATCCCCTGGATCAGTTTTGGCCAGGTTCATTGAACCTGAACCATTATGGCCTTGGTGACACTGGCAGTGTTGGCCAAGCCTTTGACCACCAAAACGGCAGTCCAGGTTGGGAGATCTCTTTGTTACGGGTTGTTACTCGTTCCAGTCAATTTTCTCCTTTAAAAACTCATTTTCGTGACCCATTTTGGAGTTAAGACTCTGAAAAACTTGAATGCCAGGAAACCTGAGACTCTGAGAGTTTAGAGAAGACCCTGAGCAAACCCTAATCTAAGAAACCCTTAGCAAGGCTTAGGCCATTAGACCTGGAACTTCTAGACTAAGAAAACCATTCAACCAAGCCAAGGTTTGGTTAGTGTTGAAGAGAGACACAGAGGATCCACGACGGAAATTATAGTCGCGGGCTTGATACGGGCGAGGCCTCGAAGCCTCGGGTTTGCCGTGTCGATTTGCCCGATCAGGTATTTTTTTACTGTCCATTTCTTTGTTTTCAGTCTTTTATTCGATTTCGGGCCCTTTCATTTGTTTTAGTTTAGTATTTCATGCTCCCTAGATGAAAGCTGGCTCTGCCACTGATCTAACAACAATTCTGCTCATTTTGACTAGATTTGTCCTTAAATTAGAATTTGATTGACCTCACTCTCTATCATTTTTAAAAACAAGGTTGTGGTTCGGATCTAGTCGATCTTCATCTTGAGATCGTCCCGATCTGCATCATGAGCAGTTTAGCGCCCATCGTGGGGTATTCCGAATTGTAGACTCCCCATTTTTAAAAACTGACAAATTCCATAGTTTTCCTAACCTTAGACAACTTTAAGATCATACTATTTCATAAATTCCTTGAACCATATAACACCGTAGTCCGTGATCCCCATTTTAGTATACAAATAGACATTTTCGTGCCTCTTTTATAGAGAGACCATCTTAAGCTGAGAGAGAGCTGGAAACCCTAAATCTGTAGAAACCCTAAGCCTTGGAGAGATCAGAGAGACATTGTGAGTAGACCCTAGCTCTAAGCAATCCTTAGCAAACTTAGGCCATTAAACAACCTTCAAACTTTAGATCCATGATAACTCTTCAACCAAGCCAAGGCTTGATTAATATTGAAGACAGACACAAAGGACGTACGGTGTGAACCATAGCCGCGGTCCTGATACAGGCGAGGCCTCAAAGACTCAGGTTTGTCTGACGAACTGGCCAGGCTAGGTATATTTCTTATTCTCTGTTCCTCTTATTTTTTAGTTATTTTTGTTAGATTCAGGATTTTATTTGCTTTTCATTCAATATTTTGTGCTTTTGGATCAACGTTGGCTCTGCTACTGATCTGAGAGCACCGTGGCGCATTTCGAGCAATGCTGTTAAGGATGCAGAACAGAACGATCTCAGAATGGAGATCGCTAGGATCTGAACCACATACTTGTTATTTAAGAATTTGATAGAGAGTGAGATCAATCGAATTCTAATATGAGGTCAGATCTAGTAAAAATTGAGTTACTATGCTCTCATATCATTAGAAGAGCAAGCATTGATCCAAAAACACGAAAGATTGAATGAAAAGCAAATAAAATCCTGACTCTAACAAAATAACTGAAAAATAAGAGGAAAAGAGGATAAGAAAAATACCCGGCCAGGTCAGTTATCCCGGCAAACCCGAGGCTTTGAGGCCCTGCCAGTATCACGACTGCGGCTATGGTTTACGCCATACGTCCTCCGTGCCTCTCGTCAATATCGACCAAGCCTTGCCTTGGTTGAATAGTTATCTTGGATCTAAGGTTTGAAGGTTTCATGTTTAATGACCTAGGTTTGCTAAGGCTTGCTGATCTAGGATTTGCTCACAGTTTTCTCTCTGGTCTCTCCAATGCTCAGTGTTTCTACAAATCTAGGGTTTCCTGCTCTCTCTTAGCTTAAGATGGTCTCTTCCTAAAAGAGGCACAAAAATGTCTTTTCATAGACTTAAATGGGGACCACAGACTGTGGTGTTCTATGGTTCAGGGATTTAATGGAATAATAGGATCCTAAGGCTTGTCTAAGGTTAGGAAAATCATGAAATTTGTCAAATTTTAAAAATAGGGTGTCTACAGTTTGGCATGCCCCACGGTAGGCGCCAAATTGTTCACGATGCAGATCAGGACGATCTCAAGATGAAGATCGACCAGATATGAACAACAAATTTGTTTTTAAAAAATGATAGAGAGTGGGTCAATCAAATTCTAAGTTAAGTACAAATCTGTTCAAAGTGAGCAGATATGTTCTTAAATCAGTGGATGGGCCAGTTTTTATCTATGGAGCACGAAATACTAATATTAAACAGATAAAAGGGCCTAAAATTGAATAAAAGAATGAAAATAAAGAAATAGAGAGTAAGAAAAATACTTGGCTAGGGTGTTCCAGAAGGCTTTTGATATATCACCTGCCAAAAATCTCATGATTTTGGTCAGTCTGGTTTGGGCGATACTAGGTGTGTCGCCTAGACCAAATCTTCTAGATTTTGGGGTGATCCAAAGGATTTTGATATATCACCTGCCAAAAATCTCGTGATTTTGGCCAGTCTGGGCTAGGTGACACTCGGTGTGTTGTCCCGACCAAATCTGCTCAGAATCGATAAATTCCGATTCTGGGGTGATCTACGGGCTTATATAATACGCCTGCCAAAAATCAAGTAAAAATACGTGATTTTGCTATTTTCATTTGATTTATTCCAAAAGCAGTGCGTGTGTAAGGATTGTGGCAGATAATATGTACTATGGTGGTCTATGGTCTGGGGTTTTACTAGGATAGTGTGGTCCTAAGGCTGTTTAGGCTTTAAAAAACTATTGAATTTGCAGGTTTTCAAAATGGGGTGCCTACAAAAATACATATTGGGCCTTATCAGAGGTCCTTCCACGTGCATGTAAGGGGGAATATGTTTCCCTATTGTTGCTTCAAAATCAGGTTAGAGAAAGGTGTTCTCTATAGTTATTCATGGTATGTGAAGGGAGAAATTTTCCTCTTTGAGTTGAAGTGCTTGTGTGATAGAGGAAGGCATCCTCTATGAGTCAAACATCGAGAGAAGATGATCTTCAAGGGCTGCTATGTTAGAGAAGGTCTGATACTTCATAGAGATGCACGAGTGAAAGAAAACGGAGTTCTATGACGTTTTGCATATGCATAAGGAAGAGAAAACCTAGAGGTTGAAGAGAAATCCTAGAGTCGCGAAACCTCACGAGTCACATTTGGTTTTGAGTTTGAGTGGAAGACTACAGCAATGGTGGAAGACTACACCATAGTTGCTGTGATATCAATTTGTGAGCGCAACTCTCTTTGGTATGTTTTCTTTGTTGTTTTGTTTGGTTTTGTACAGGTGTTGGTGAAAAGATTGTAGCAAAATCTCAGGGCGTTGTCTTTAGCTCTTTTTGTTTCTCGATATTGTAAAGATGTATGAAACTGTATGGCAGTACCTGTAAATTGGGCTTGCCGATGCAAGCAATAAAGTGAAATTGGTCTTGGGATAGCTGCTCATGAAAAGGAGTTATAGAGAGAGAGGCTTACATTGGTTACCCTCGCCCCTGGAAAAGAGGTGGAGAGAGAGAAGCCTCCAGTTTTTTGTCAGCTGCAATTTGTCTATGACAGGGAATTGTAGAGATGGTTGCCTGTGAATTTTTAGGTTGTGAGGGAGATAGAGAGCCACTGTCAAGGAAGTGGAGATAGAAACACCTATGCATCTTGGGCTGCCATCTTGCCTATGCAACAAATGAGAGAGAGAGTGAGCCACAAGATTTGGTTGTGGAGAGAGAGAGAGCTCTTGACGGTTCTGTAGTTGGATAGAGATACAGTGAGAGAGGCCTATCTGTTTTTGCTTTTCGGTGGAGAGAGATGGGGATGGAAAGGAACCGGAGGGAGAGTCCTACAGCTTTTGGGCTAGGATTTCACTCAGGAACTGGAAGGACATTTGAATTTATATAGAGACATGGTTTGGGTATAGAGAGCACACCCGGTTTTTCTGATTTAGACAGAGAAATTTTGGGTAGAAAGAGTCAGCTGATCGGTAGAAAGAGAGAGGTCTGGGGTTTTTGGTTTATTGGCCAGAGAGGGAGAATGCTTGGACCATATGGGTAAAGAAAAACATTTTTGGAACTAAATGGTAAAAAGATTAAAAATTGTGGCATTGATGAAATATAATTTAAAGTCAGGTTGGAATTTTAAAAATTGCAAACTAGGTGGCATTTTTGAGGATATCTTTGGGGGAAAACCTGAGGTCTCCCTTAAATGGAGGCTTGTGAATGTTTGTTACCCAGCAGTTTGTTCAGATTTTTTTTCTTTTCTTTATTTATTTATTTAAAAAATAAATAAACCAACTTGGAAGCCTTTGGTTTGCAGCTATAACAGAGCAAAAAATAGGTATCTCAAAGTCAGAGATGAACTTGGTCCCAGCCTCCATCTTCTTTCTGCTGCAGAAGCAGGCACGCTAGTGAGTAACTTGCTGATCAGCTTTTGATTAGTAAATGTAGCCTAGAGTTCTCTTGAAAAGATGACTTCTTTGTTATCATTTAAGTACATTGGCTGGTTTATAATATCAATGGAGAATATCAGTTGTTTCTTAAACTATTATTATTGATCATACAATTTCAACTTGCTACATTGGCATTACCAGATTCTGAATTGTATGGTTTGACCTTGCAAGTATGAAATTATTGGTTACTTCTCTCTGTTAATTTATTGAAGACCTGTGACAGCTTCCATTGTACGACACAAATTCCATACATGTTTATATTTGAAGCCCCCATTCTACTAAATCCATTGGTTTTGCGTACGTGGTTGATTATTCTGACTCTAGTTTCAATTTGGAAGCCTCCTTTGCTTGCTTAGGGCATGAACACTATGGTGCTTTGACTGCTTCAGTAAAATATATCTCTTTTAATAAGCAAAATTTATAAATTTATGGAAAGATGAGAAAATAAATAAACCAAGAAAATACTTTACAAATGGAAATAAAAAAAATACCCATCCTCCCCTTGTAGTTCCTCATGGGGGTAAATGCTAAATAGATCAAACTGCATCTACTAGAGCCCCATATAGATTTAACAAGTGTGATCCACATTTTCCAACTTGGACGATTGGATCATATGCCTACTGGAACATAAGTAGGTCAGCTGATATTTGTCTGAGAACTCCCTAATTGCCTTTCAACTTAAATGTCATGATTTAGCCGTGTTTTCCCCATCCAGCATCTCCAGCTACGGGGTCCAGGGTATTTTGCTAATGAGGTTCTTGAATTCCCTTATGTCTCTGCCCAAGTAAGTGCTGCCTTTTCTGGATGTATTTGCTTTGAGCTTTTGCCTTACAATCCAGGGCTCTGAATATCTTAAGAATGTTTTGCTGTTAATGCTCTGGAGCTGATCTGCAATTCTACTAACTCGGAAGAATCTCTAGTAACCTCCTCTATATCCCTTAACAGGAGGTACTGAGGTAACCAGTGACTCCCATGTTGCCTCAGTGACCCCTAATGAAGTGCCATAGCAGGGCAACCAGTGACCCCTAATGAAGTGCCATAGCAGGGCAACCAGTGACCCCTAATGAAGTGCCATAGCAGGGCAACATGGGAGTCACAGCCCTACTTAGAAACATATACATTGTGAAGTTACAGTTCTTGTTGTTATAAGGATATTTCTCCTTTTACTTCTTCAATTTGTTTCCAAAGGTCATCAGCAAATAATTTTCAATCTTCTGCATCATTATTGGTAGAGATTTATCTGAGATTCTCAACACATTGGTCATTGTTCTATAGTGCACTGGGAAAACATCTAGAAAGTGGCTCCTTGTATAAACTCATCTGTTGCCTTCCCCAAATAAGCGCCTAAAGTACGCATGTTTATGGTCTGTCAATTGGAAAGTTTTAGCTTCAATCAAGGCAGATCCAAAAGTTTACTAGATCAAAGGCATGTGCTTTTGAGCATTTTTGGCTGCAGGACAGACTTTATCTATCTGAGCAAATCTCATGGGAACATGCCTCATTATACCCAGTGCTAATGGTGCTTCTGCATCTTGTGCTCTTCGAAGGAGAGGATAAAGATATATGGACCTTAAACTTTCAAAGTTGTTTCTTGTGGACAGGAAATAGCATGCTGAATGTCAACTGAGATTTGGGTTCTGGTCTCACCAGACGTCTTCAATTTCTCTCACCTTCCTTAAAAGTGAACTTCGTTGTAACCAAGGTAACCTCAGCCTGACAGATGAGCAAAATCCCTCAAAGGCAAACCATTTGATGGACACTTTTGACATGGAGTTGTAGTTCTGTTTCTACCATCTTTCTTTTGCTTAGGAATCTTTGGATTCCTTATTCTGAGTGCGGCACTGCAGAAATCGAAGCATGCTGATACCCCCGCATCTGACGTGAATGTGGAAGATGGTACTCAAAGTTTTCATGGCCCATCATCTTGTGCTGTAAATTTCCACTATCAGAGGTTCAAGCCAGCTCATAAGACATGCTTTCAACTTGTCCCTTCGTATTTTGATTTATTATCCCACAACTATCACTGACTCCCCACCCCTAGTTTCATGTTCTGTACTCCTAGATGGAACCTCATCCATAGCAGCACTTACTACGTTGTAGTAATGCAGGTGTGGGGCAGCCCTCTTAGGGAGTTGGACAAAGATGCATGCATCTGTTTCCTAGTCTGGCTTTTACATAGGATGTCAATGGTATGTACATCAAGGGGACACCAACAATTTTGATACTCACACATCCGACACTGATTTATGGAGCATTTGATACGGGACAATGTTGAAAGCAACCAAAGTTCGAGTTTTGGTACACGCCCAGAAATCCTCTTGCATGCACCAATCTGACATTTGTTCACTAAATTTCAGTGATATTTCCAATAATGTCTTCGCCTGTATGTTTCTTTGATGTCATGTTATTTGTGTTAGTTTTTAAGATTTGCAGGGGGATCAGGTGCAATAGCTAATTTTTTGGTTAATTATTATTATTTTGTATGAACAAAAGAAAGAGGAATTATGAGGCCTGCCCATACATATGTGGCTTATTTTCAAACTTGTCTGTGGTTTATGGACGGCTTTGTTGCAAAATTTTCTAGATGATATCCTAGGAGCATCCCATCATCAATAACTGTTTTTGACAAAGTGTTTTGTTATTTTTGTGTTTTGCATCTTCTTGGCTGTCAATGTAAACTCGTTGACATGTCCAATATTGTACATAATGCTGTAAAATCCAATTGTCATGGAAGGAAGTTAACTACGTCATGTCTTTTTACTTTCATGAGCAGTGGTGCAAAAATTTTAGATCTACATATGTAAGGACAGCCTCAAAGTAATTTTTTCCAGAAGGAATAAGCATTGTTAACTATAGGGCAGCTTACAAACCCCAAATTAACTTACAAATTCTCTGATGCATGTTTTTTTCTGAATCTTAAAACATTTAGAAGCCAATAAATCAAACAAGGATTGACTATATTAGGCAAATGTTGTGTTCTGATCAGTTGTATGCTTACTTGAGATGCTACACTATTAGAACTTGTAATTCATTGGGAGTACAAATGTCAGGAAGATTTTGTGATTAATTGTGTTGCTGATATTATAGATCACATGACTCATGATAACTTCTTTGGGTAATAATAAAGAAAAAGCACTCTACAAATTGGCTACTAACCAGCAGGCAACAGTTGGGGATGCAGTAGAGGGCTCAGGTACTCAGGCAGTATGGAGCCCCAATCTCTGAGGAACGCTCAAGGATGACAAGATAGTAGCTTTGTTAGAGTGGCTTCCAGAATTACAGAATTTCTTCTTCTGATGAAGTGGGTTGAAGAGGGTAGCCTTGACGGATATATGCTTAATCGGTTAACAGGACACGGTATCAGTGTTACTTCTCTTTTGGCACTGCAAAACAGCAGGTAAGATTTGTGCCTTTCTGTCGGGTCTGTTGGGTCTAGAATTGGAGGAACTGAGTATGATAGAAGCATTAGTGGTGCTGTGGAGTTCTCTTTTGGTACTGCCGCACTGCAAAGACAGTATTGGTGCCATAGTTATTGTTTGTGTGAGGATAAAAAGGAATTGTGTTTCTTCAAAGCTGACTTTGAGAGTCAATGGCTAGAGTTTCTTAAAGGTAAATACTGAGCACATAAGTGTGCCAAAATGGGAGCCACCACCAGTGGATTCGCTAACATTTGATGGATGTTTGTATGGGATCCGGTGTAGCAAGGGTAGGGAATGTCGTAAGGAACTACCACGGAAGGGAAACCTTAAACTATTCTCTGGTCCCTTGTTAGCTCACGATGCTAATGAAGCAGAGACCAGGACGTTGCTATCTGGTTTAAGAATTCTAGCCCTAACATGGACTTCGATTATTTTTGAAGCAGACACAGCCAATATCATAGCATCAGCTACAAGGGATATAGAACATTAATGGTGTTTTCACAATACACTCAATGAAATTTTTGAGGGGACTCACAATTTCTGATTCTGTTTCACACACTTGTGGAGATCAATGAGATTGTTCTTAGTAAGGGCAGGTGTTCAAAACCCATCCTTTTTCGTAGTTCATTTATGACAAACAGAGTCATTTTTGTAAAGACTCAACTTTATGACTCCTCGTACTTGTACAACCATTCTTTAAACCCAGTAAATGAAAAGATTTCTTTAAAAAAAAATTGAAGTTAATATTTGAATGAAAAAATTCAAAATGAAAAGTTGATAAAGAATTCGAAACATATTGGTTTGTGCTGATTTAACGAAAACATTCAAAATGAAAATTTGATAAAGAAATAAAAACATATTGGCTTGTGCTGATTTGTGAATCAATCAAAAAATAGTTGAGCCTTTGAAAACAAGATTCAGATCTGAATCCTTAGAATTACTTAAACATTCTGATGAAACTTGCTAACTTTAACATGCAAAGCCAGATTTGACCTGAAATCTGGATCTGGATTAGGTAATTCTACAAAGACGCGATCCTTGTGCTATAGAACTCTTTGAAGGTACCCAGCATGCCCGTGGGACGGTGCAGAAGGAATCCTCAACTATCCTACCGCTACATAAAGTTGCCTAGACTCGTGGTTCTAAGAGTACAACTTGCTCACGGCACCCTGTGTATGCCGGTAAGCTGCGTCACTTGTGATTGTAGCCTTTGTTTGAAAAAAATAGGTGCAATCATTGATGGTGAACTCTTTTAACTTTCAAATGCTTTCTTATTTTGTTTTCATTTTGGTCTTTTTATCATGTTATTTTCATGTTCATTCTTTTGATGGAAAACAGTTGTTAATCTTTGACAACATTTATATATTCATCCAGAGGTTATATTTCCGGTTGCCTTCTATCTTTAAGATAACTACTAGTCAAGATATTTTAATTTTATACCATGTTTGTGTCTTTGTAGTTGCTATGTGTTCTTTTGACAATGTTGTTTTCCAGGTTCTGCATATTGGGATTCAAGTGAAATGACCATTTGATTTTGGCATTCTTAGGCATGTCTTTTCACAAATCCTGTTTGGCTAGTCAAAACAAGGTTGCAGCTTCAGACACCATTGAGTCAATCTCCACCATATTCTGGATTTTCTGGTCTGTTTCATAACTAATATTCACTGTGTTGTCTATATTCTTAAGCTTAACAAATGTAAACTCATGATTTTATGCACTTTGTAAAATTGAACCAATGATATGCACATCTCTGCATTTTATCTGCAAGACAAAGTTTATGTAGGAATTCTTTACATTTATGGAATATATAAGAATTTCATGTTGTTTGTGTTCTGTTTTGGATCACTGAAACATCTAAGTTCCATGGCACATCCATGGACATGCACTAGAAAATGCTCTGGTTTGCATCTGGACTAACACATATATACATACATAAGTATATATACATATATATGCACACATGAATGCATGCATGCATGCATACATATGTGCATACATTCATACATACATAGGTTTATTTTAGAATATTTTAGAATATACCACACTAATGGTAACTGCTTGAAAACTTTTGACCATAAGTTGCCCTTACGTATTCGAAAATGGCTTTGACTATAAATAGTTCATGTAGTTTAGGAAGGGTATTTTTGACTTTTTAAAATCCCTCCAAAACTCGATTTCAAACTTAAAAAGATTCCATTGACTGTTGAATGACGAGTGGATCTTTAAATTAAATCATAAATATGCCCTTCTCGAAATTTTTAAACAAGCTATTGTTAATAATTTATCTATATTTGTGAGGGCATTTTATTGTCAAAAAGTTTGGAGTATGAAATTCTAAGTTCACTATTGTTACGGTGTGTGTGTGTGTGTGTGTGTGTGCACGTGCGTGCTTGTGTGTGTGTGTGTCGTTTTCTCTCTCTCTCTCTCTATTTAGTGAACTCCAAATACCTGAATTCCATTTTATTGACGTCTCCAAACAACAATGGGGAGGATTCCTCTGCAGAAAGAGGCAGTAGCTCTCTCTCTCTTTCATCAATGTGCATCTTCCTTATCTTTAAGAAAGCTCAAATTCTGTGAGGGAGGGAGGGAGGCAGAATCTTTCGTTTTACCACTACTTTTTCAGTTTATGTTTACACTGTTGCTGAATGGGTTGATTCACGCATGATTGCCAGTGAACTACTAGATTCTAGGTCCATTTCTTGGATTGACCTATTCTTATTCTAGTGTTGAGGCAGGTTATAAGGGCACCTCCAGAACTGGTAGAAGGTCACCCCCTAGTTATTTTTTCTGTTTGGGCTTGACTATCACTATTCGCTGTGCCTTTTCTTTTCAAGAAATTTTCGCTTTCTTTTGAATTATTTAGTGACAACAACTGTGTGATATCTTTGATATCTACTCTAGTCTTCTGTGCTCATACCAAGAATTTTGTAATGACTATACTCTATTCTAGAGGAATAATTGACCAAGGAGAGCATGCTGCATTATGTTCTTGCTCTTCATAGCTCACTGCCTTCTTTAACAAAACATTCATAAATGACACATAGATCTAGAGCTTTGCTTAAAGGGAGTTTTCTGAGACAAATTTATTCCCACTTCGTTGAACGTTTTTTCTTCCATATTCTAGAAATGTGACGCATTAGCTGGTATTTTGATACCTAATGTATTTGATTAATGTGAAGATGCATCCATCAAGTTGATCCCACTTACATAAGCATCTGAAGAGAATATATGATGGTATCGTTTTCATTCATGTTGTAATTTAATGATACTGTAACAAAGTCACTTGAACTTTGGACCTGATGAATGAAACTTGTCCTTTCATGGGGTTCACCTTTGAACCTGATGAATGAAACTTGTCCTTTCATGGGGTTCACCTTTGAACCTTTATTAACTGAAGTGAATCCTGGCATAGCTGTTTCTAGTTAGTCGTTATGTTTGAATATTACTGTACATACTTTTACTAGTGAGCTTCACCAAAGAGAAAATAAATTTGTATTGAACTGTCACATTTTGGTTTGTTTGGTAATCTTGAGAGGCCCTCTTCGATTGATAGTAATCCGCCCTCTTCGATTGATAGTAATCCATTGGAAATAGTTTCTGTCAGTGTTCGAAAGCATGGCTTGGTGTGGAACTCAGGACTTAGGTGGTCTGAGTAACTTAGGCGAGTTCGAGTTGACTCACCCGAGTCCATGCCAAGTTGCCCAAAGTTGCCCCAAGTTGGTAAAAATCTGGGGAAAATTGTTAAACAAACACAAAAAGTATATAAAAGATGAGTAAAAAGGTAAAAAAGAAAATTAGAAATCTTGTTAATGATCATTTTCTCAAAAAATAGAAATATAAAATTCAGAAAATATTGATCATAAAATCAGAAGAAGTATATACAAAACTAATTATAGATCAATTATAATTGATTTGATCGACGAATAAATCAATTATAAAGCAATTCAATTTACTACCCAAGTTGTGGGATGTTCTGGGCTCCACAACCTACTGAGCTTGAGTGGTTAGCATGAGTCTGAGTTGACTTGCCTGAGTAGGCAGACACTGGTTTGAATATTTCTCCCCAAAAAATCATGAATAGTCACGTCTCCACTAACATCGCCAAAGTGATTAACTGTTCATGGCAGAACCTCCATAGGCTGAGGGACAGCATATGAGGAAAGACCAATGGGTTCTACCTGTGGGAAAAGCTTTCACATTGTGGTCCATATCACTGAGTGCTGTGGAAAGGGAAACCTACCTTGGTTGGGCTACATTTATTTCTTGTAGTTACATGCACATCAAGTGCAGACCGGAGCTGCCATTCCTTTTTGGATGTGGCTTTACTTAGATTGCCCATATGAGTGCATATTTTGGTAGGTCTGTCTGATAATTGGAGGGTTTCGAGAATTGTAAATGAGTTCATGTGGTTACCATGATCTGATATGAAGGTGTTCTTCTCTCAACTTATGAGGATCCAATAAGAACTATTACTTCTAATTCTAGGAATTTGGCCAGATGTAATACTTCTTTTTTATCGTGGACTGCAATGAAGAGCCTGCTTAAGGTCAAATTTTTATCGATAAGTACAGATTTAAAGTGAAACTTATGATGCCAGTGTTAGACTGCAAGAACTTCAAGGTTTGAATGACTAAGCTATGGGGGTAGAATCAGGCATTAGTGGAGGCTGGTTTGGTCAAAATTTTGCATTTTTGTTCTACGTTTTTGGAAGGACTCCAATTTTTCCACATAATTGTTAACTCTATATTGGTTAAGAAGTGATTAGTGATTAAATGTATTTGCTATATGATGTTATGATGTTTTGGACATTTGATTCATAAGCATGTCCATTAAAAAAGAGAAACAATAGTATCTCATCATTCATTCTTCTGTCTTTCATTTTTTTTTTTTCGTAATTCACATTTAGCAGTTTCATTTTGTCTATAACTTCGTAAATTAGTTTGTCTTATTTTTCTTCGCTGAGCTAGATGCTATAAGAACAATTCTTAAGGAGGAAGGTTGGCGTACACTTTATAAAGGGATTGGTCCAGGTCTTTTACTTGTAAGTTACATATTCTTGCTCCTTTTTATATTCAAACTATACTCTTCATGCCAAAGTTTCATTTAGATCTAGATGTAAATTATTTGACGAGGAAAATCAAGAGGATACTGAAGTCGTAAGTGTATAAAAAGCTGCATAATGAACAGAATTTAAGTAGCAAGTGGTGAATGATGTGCATACAATCATATGCAAATAATTGATGCAAGTGAGAACCTGTTTCATGCATGGTATTCAACGATCCTCTATTCTAGATAAACTAATTTCCTTCACACTTTTGAAACATCTTGGTTTCTAGTAGGGTTATTATTAAATAATTTCCTTGGTTTAATACCTCTTTTAGTCTAGATGCCATTACTTTGGCATCATCTTATGGACACTGCTAATCAGACTTATGGGCTGGGAATCTCTAATAACTTTAGCTTCGTTTTTGGGGATCAAACCTGTGAAAGTTGCATTCATACACGTGGATTGTTCCTCTTTCATGAAACTCCTGAAATATTTGCAAAAGATCATCTTCAACATGTCTCCAGAACTCCTAGCAAACGCAGAGAGGCTAATGGGTACCCATCAGTGCCTGGGTTGCGCTTCTTTGCTAGGTTGAGGACCACTTGCTTCACCATCGCGAACAGTCTCTCCACCTATCTCTCACACTCCAAGGATAATCTTGTATAGGGAACTTCATCTAGGGATGCCCATGTGATGAACAACCTGTAGAAATATTTGGTTATTGCCTCTGTATGTTTTTGGCACATGTGAATCTTTATTTAGATTTGATTACTTAGGAACTATTGTTCCTCCTATTACTTCCTTGTGCAAGAACCCCATACTTATGATGGCCTTCTCTTTAAGCTATTTGATTCTTGATGTCCAATGCCATATAATTTCTTCCAGCGCAGGCATGCTTGAGTGGCTGCCCTTGCTTCCGCACTTTCTTCGTTCCTCGATCATGATATATTCATTTCTGCCAAGTTTTTTGTTTTTTGGTTCCATTTTGCCCAAAACACCCTTTATTCCAAAACTTGTGGGTTGTCTTTAACATTGGACATTTTGCAGACTCAAATCATACACCTTGAAAGAAATCCATCTATCTCTGATGAGGCTTGGGAGGCTTTTGTTTCCCAACCATATGAATTTAAAAAGGAAAGGTCTTGGCCCTCCATCAATTAGGTTGGCATCTAGCAGAATAGCTAGATGGTTTGAGGCTTGGAAAGCTGTTTGCGATCCCCAGGTGATATTGGTATTGTAATTTTCTGTATTCATTGTATTTAATGTCCAAACAGTTGAGGCTAGGAATGCCGTATTGCTGCTTTGCTAGCTTAGGGGTTTTTAGAAATAGGCTTTTGGCAAAAAAGAGGTTCAGATTATGGATCTGAGGCTCTAAGGCTTGCTAGTCGTATCAAAGCCAAACTGGACCAACCGGTCTGACCTGCTGGACTAGGATTAGTGTAACCTAATCAAACTAGAGATTGATCCATTGGACTAGCTAGTTCGACCAGTCCAGGTTGATCCAACTATTCTTGATATTGATTTTTTGTTTCTTTTTTTGTTTTTTCTGGTATTATTCTTCCAACTAACATGGCTGGAAGGTTGGTTTTTAGTTATTGTTTGGGTCTTTTGGACATAGTTGTTGGGATCGGGATCAGGAGCGGGGGACCTGAAAGGTTAAAAGATCCCTATGGTTACAATGCATATATCTATATATATATATATATATATTTTATGCTCTTAACTGTTGTATTAAAAAAGTAAAGGATTATAGTGTATCGTTGAGAGTGCCCACAGACCGGGCCTCTCGGCCAAAAATAGGCTATCCTTATACAAAAAATGGGTGGGGCTTATAACAGTTGCCCATTACAAAAGTGTACAAAAAATGGAAACTCAGGAGGTGGGGTTTATAATAGTCGCCCATTACAAAAGCGTACAAAAAATAAGAGACTCAGGATTGAGAAAGAGCAATAATCTTGTGAATTCAAGATGCTTGCAGCCATTCCATCTTTAGCCAGTTGGTCCGCTAGGGTGTTTGATTCAAATATGCTTCCATAAGACGGTTGTATCCTTGCAAACATGCATAATCTCGTCATAAACCGAAGTAAGGTACCAAGGAGAGGGGGGTCATGTCCAGCAGCCCAAGTAATAATATTTTGGGCATCTCCTTCCACAATCAGAGGTTGTTCCCATGCGGGGTCAAACCTTTTAAGTCCAGAGAAAAGTGTTGTAGACTCAGCTACCTGGGAGTCGGCGTGGCCAATGTGCTGGGAGAACGACGCCAGAATACTGTCGTGATGGTCTCTGAAGATCCCACCTACTCTTGCAGGTCCAGGGTTTCCAAGGGAACACCCATTGAAGTTGAGTTTTATGAGGCCTTCTGATGGAGTAGAATAGTTGTTAGCTCTCGTGATCCGAGGTGAATGGTTGTGGAGGATTTCTTTCCAATTTTGGAGGAAGGTTGAAGCCGAGATGCCTTTGAGGCTTTGTGATTTGTGGCCCAGAAAGTGACTTGGGTTGTGACTATGTGGATCATTGTTAAGTCGTCGCACTTTGTTCCGTACAATGCATATGTTAGGATCGAGATCCCTTAATGTTTGGTTTCTTGATCCCATCTTTTTGAGATCTCGATCCCAACCTTTTGGGGATTTTGCTCCTAACCTTAAAGAATATATAGTTAGAATTATATGGACTCCTTAAAATAGGGATCTCTTTGTTTATAGCCAACAAGTGATACAAATATTTTTAAATTATAGTTGCAATGCTAGCACGCTTGAAAATCATCGTTTTGGTCATTATCTTCGTCTTTAAGGTGGGAATCAGGTTCCCTAACAGGGGGGTGGGGATCCCAAATTTTAAAAATCAAGATCCTTTGAAGCTCCCTTTCCAAAAATGCGGGAGCGAGATTCTGGAACGGGATCGCCACCTGGGTTGGGAGATCCAAGCAACTATGCCTTTGGATCATTAATCATATTTCTATAGGCCCTTGAACTTAAAACCTTAATATAAGAGAGGGGTTTTTCTACCTCCTCTCTCTCGACCAACACCTAAGTTCCCTCCTTTGCATGGATTTTCCAAGAAGTTGGCCCTCAATCACGCAAGCTTCTCAAGCTATCCCAACAAGCTAGTAAGCTCATTAGTTTTGTTTTTTCATTCTTGTAATTTAAATTCTTTAAAGAAATAAAAAAAGGTAGTCTAAAGGGTTACAAAAAAAGGTTATTATGTTGTTATTTTGGGGAAATCGTTTTGTAGTTTAATCATTAGATATTATAGTGAGTTTAATGTTGTCATTTTTATGCTTTTCCTTTTTTAGAAAATAGGGAACTCTGAGGTTATGGGTCGGTTTTGTGCTTGTTATGATATTTGGGAGACTGTTTTGGGCATTAGGTCATGTTAAAACATGTCTTTTTTTTCTTTTTTCTTTTTTTAAATTAGGGAAGTTGCATTGGATTTAATGTGGTGTTTATGTTGGTTTTTTTGTGCGGAAGGTTTCAGATTCTCTTGGTGTTCCCTCCATGTATCACGCTATGCAACTCAAGTCATCAACCGAACTAACCCAGCTTAGGGGCTCCTCAAACTCAAGACCCGGAATTTCGTTGACGTCAGTCATGGATCACACAAACTTAGTCCTTTCTTTATCCTTCCTCTCTGGGGAAGAAATAGCAAAATTAAGGAAATCTTTCTTCTACGAAGTGACATTCATGCAGTAGTGGGATTAAATTTTTCTTCATTTGCTCCAAATCATGTCTGCTCCCTTTCATTTAGCATACCATCTAGGTATCACAAAGCAGATCATATGAGTTTGTGTCAACTGGAAGCATCTGCCAATGATTCACATGTTTGGGTCCAAAAATGTTGCATTCTTTGTTAAACAGGACTTGCTCATCGCCTGTGAAGGATGGTAGCTCTCCCAAGACCTAAAAGGACCAAGTGGAGTGAGGTGGAAGTTGGGCAGTTAGAATCTTCCAACCCTTCGTATGGCATTTAAATGTATCATGGTTGTCACGGATGGCACAATACTTGTCCTACGAGTTGTTTTTGATATATCACTACTATAAGTCATCCTAGTGCGTCAACTAGATCATGTGACTATGTCTGGGTTCATCACATACATTCCTGAGCGAAGAAACAAGGGAGGTGCATGGAGAAGACGAGTTAGAACATACCAATGTTCTCATGAGCATGCAATAAGTGCAGTCACCACAAGAAGTTTGCTATAAGAAAGCGGAGCATGTAAGGTGGGATCCGACTGTTTGGTATGTGTGCAAAAATCCTGGATGCTAGACAAATAAATGCACTGACAAATTGCATGATTGTAGGAATTATAACACACCTTGCGAACTAACGTACTGTAAAATTAGTGGCCAATACGAGGTGCGGATCATGAGTAAAACTAATGTCATTAAGAATGAAGCGGGCTGGCCAATTTGAAACGGAAACAGGCAAATCGATGACTTGTCATGTCTAGTCTACCCCCTAGACCGAATGATTCAGTGCCAAACCGACCAGATTTGATGGTGTAAAAAACTAATGTCGTCAAGACTGGAGCGGGCTGGTCAGTTTAAAACGGAAACCGGCGAATCGATGGCTTGTCCTGTCTAGTCTACCCCCTAGACTGAATGATCCAGTGCCGAACCGATCATATATGATGGTGCAAAAAAGAAAAAAGAAAAGAAAAAGAAAAACAAAAAATCCTTTTTTCCCCTCACAAGTACATGGTTTTTAGGGTTCTTTTGTCCTTTTTGGTAATTTTTCACATTAGGGTTGTTTTGCGGTTAAAAAGGAGGATTTTTAGAGAGATAGAGATGAGGCGTGAAGAAGAGAGTGAGAGAGAAGCAAGAAAATTGAATCAATGAAATAAGGGGTGACCCCCCTATTTATAATTTTCAAGAGGCTTAGGGCATACCTGTCTTAATTCGATTTCAATTTGACCAATGGGATTCTTGGTAATTTATGAGGGGAGAGAAGGAAATAAATTTGACCCATCCATCCCAAAAATCAGCCATCATGGTTTA